GTGGCAGCGGTGGTGAGGTTGGCCCAGGATCGAGCATTGTTTCGTTCTGCTGTGCATGGGGTTGCTATGAGTCGGTTCCGACTCGATGGCACCTGACAACAACACCAACAAAGCATGTCTAGTAGCCACCAAACACAATCACCAGACAGCTTGAGAGCAGGGAACTGTTTCATGCATGTTTATATCCTTAGTACCAGTGCAGAGGATGAAGGAAGAGCTAATGAATGTACCTATAGCTGATAGTACTTTGACCACTATTCTGGTATAATGAAATCTAAGCTTCCTTTAAACAACTATGAAGCTAGACTAACTAGTAAAATCTCCCAAAGTTTTATTAATTGAATTGCCACTGTAATATACTTAAGATATCTACTCCTAAAATTTAGTTCTGATCTAGATTTCTTTTTACTATACTCAGCACAAGAACACTTTAGTCCTCAGTAAACAAATATGATTCTTTTAGGCAAAAAAAAAAACAAATTACAGCAGTAAAACAGAACTCTTGATAAAGTTTCAGTTACTAAAGAAGGAAGGGATTCATCTTTTAACTGATACCAAACACCATTTTATATCAAAGATATAAAGGACAAACATCAGAAACATAAATATTATATGGAAGTATAGTGAAGATATTCTAACTACCAAAGTTCAGGATGCTAAGCAGAAGGTTCAAGTCCACAAAATCTAATAATCGCTTATACAATGAATAGGGGAGACTTGTGAAAAAGGAAGATTTCTAATATATTCAACTTTATATAAAGTATGGAAGACTAGCCAATTACCTTTCCCCTTCTTTTACTAACACACAGAGAGATTACATTTTCCAGTTCCCCCACCCCTGCAATTATAAACAACCATATGGCTACCCGGTAGAATTAACTAAAAATGATGTGCATCACTTCTAGGATCAGCTCAAAGGAAACTCTTAAATATGGTATTTCCCATTTTGAGGTTCATGTACACTAGTAAAGAGGCCCTGGATGCAACACACTGAAGATAACAAAGCCATACGGCAAAAGCAGCCTAGGTCCTCTTATACAAGAGCCACCTACCACTCAAAACATCCATTTTACACTTTACATGAGTAACAAATGAACTTAACTTGTGTTTAAACCACTATGGTTTAGAGAATATTAAGGCAGCTAGAATGATCTATTATTATGTGAGATAAAGAGAACTCTCGATCTGTAATATAGAATGACTGAAACAAAAGAAAATTTACAAATACTTTTAAATAATTCCTGTAAATCTCCTTACATCTACTTCCAAAAAGGAAGAATTAATTGCATATACTAAATAGAAGGATGGCTGGGGAGAAATAAACAGAGGCAGAGAGAGGAGAGGAGAGAGAAAAAGAGCAAGAAGCTGACAG